TTCCAAATACCATCAAAAATCTGGAGATAAGGGCTGAGGCGAGGTGCCACAGGAGAGGGGTGAGGCAGGGAAACAGGAGCCCCGGCCAGGCAGAGTAAACAGCCGGCGTCCCCTGCCCAGCATCACATGAAAGCCCCAAGAATGGAAAAGCACAGGGCCACCCGTCCCCTCCGCTCCTGTCACGGTGGAGATAAGAGCAGGAGGCACCAGCAGCGCTCTGGCACTGGCGCCAGGAGGGTGCCACTGGCCTGGTGCTGGTTGGCAGCTGTTTGCCACACGCTTGCCTGGTGTGAAGCAGCCTCGGGGTGTGAGATGTGGAGGGTGGGGAATGGGAGTGGAGGCACAGTGCTCCTGGGCAGCAGCATCCAGATCGGGACCATGCTCTGAGTGCCCTCCTGCCTCTGGCAAAACCAAATCCTCCAGCATTGACACACTGGAGGGAAGGGATGGCATCCAGAGGGACCTGGACGTGGTGGAGAGGTGGGGCCATGGGAACCCCAAGGTGTTCAGCAAGGCCAAGGACAAAGTCCTGCACGTGGGTTGGGGCAACCCCCAGCACAGACACATGCTGGGAGAATGGATGGAGAGCAGCCCTGAGGAGAAGGGACAGGACGAGGGACGATGGTTTGAAGCTGAAAGAGGGGAGATTGAGATGAGATGTGAGGAAGAAATGTTTTCCTGTGCGGGGGGTGAGGCAGTGGCCCAGGGTGCCCAGAGCAGCTGTGGATGCCCCATCCCTGGAGGGGTTCAAGGCCGGGCTGGATGAGGCTTTGGGCAACCTGGGCTAGTGGGAGGTGTCCCTGCCCATGGCAGGGGGTGGCACTGGGTGGGCTTTAAACCATCCTGTGATTCTGTGATGATTGTATCAAGAGATTAAAGATCAGCAGGACGTGCAGGGCCCCGGAAAGCTTAGAGAAAGCTCAGGAGGATGTGGCTTTTGATGGCCACGTGCACCTTGGGGGCTGACGAGCACTGGCAGTGACGAAGGGGGCTGCCACAGAGATCAACCTCTGCTGTCTTTCCAGGAGGAGCTGTCTGTGCTGCTGACCGACGTCCAACAGTACAAGAGGAACCTGGATGAACACGTCAGCAAGCTCATCAACAACAAAAGCCGCATTGCGGTGAGTGCCATCTGCCACGCGAGCCTGTGTCCTCGAGTCCTTCGTGTCCCACGGAGCCCTTGGAGCAACCTCTGCTCCTGGGTCTCCCCAGCTCAGCTCCTCTACGCCTCTCCTTCTCTTCCCCCTTCGCTGGGATAGGAGATGGCTTCTCTTCCACCCTGGTCCCTGAGGTTCGTGTTCTCCATGAAGCTCAGGGATTAAACATAGCCCTGCTTTCGGGAAGGGTGACGTAGCCCTCTCTGGTGGCACAGCCTTGGTTTCAGAAGGGGTGACGTAATCCTCACCAAGCGTCCTGGCAGGAGCACTGCTCAGAGTGGTTGTGACCAAATGTCCTTGGAGGTGGAGAGATAACAGGGGGACAGGACCCCACTCGGAGCAGGTTTCCCAGTCAGAGCAATGCTGCTGGTTTTACTTTGAGTTCATGCCTGGTTTAGCTGCGTGTCCCCATCTCCCATGCAGCAGACATCTCCAAGGGACCTGTCCACCCCTTCTGAGCCCAAAGCTTCCCAGGGAGGCTCCTCAGAAGGGCTCAGCACAAATGAGAGTGGAGCTGCACTTTCTCCCCCTTAGCCCTGGGAGCAGAGGGTTCCAGGATCTCTTTCAAGGCTCTGATGAAGCTGCTCAGGACATCAGGAAACCAAAATGTGGGGGAGGAGAGGTGTAAGGCAGGGGTGCCGTGGTGGGGAGCTGCTGAGGACAGCAGGATGAAACAACATCTCGCCTGCTGTGAAGAGCTGCTCTTTATTTGGAAAGCCCATGGAGGGCAGCTTGGTGGGACACATTGACACTGCTGGTGGCATGTCCGAAACCAAAAAGCAGGTGAAGGGGACAGAGCCAGGCAGCCCCTGCACAGCCACTTGCTGTCTCCTGACAGAACGAGGCAGATGTCTTCAAGTGGGTGATCCGGAAGGAGTTCCAGGAGCTGCACAGGTACATCGATGAGGAGAAGGCCTCCTTCCTGGAGAGCATCGAGGGCAAGGCTGCCCAGCTCATCACTTCCATTGAGTCCCAGGTCAAGCAGACATCAGACGCCCTGCAGAGGCTCAAGGAGATGCAGAGCTCTCTGGAGGCACTCAGCAACGAAAGCCAGCTTGATTTCATCCGGGTGAGTGCGCTCGCTGGGGAAGGCAGCGATGGTCAGCCATGCTCTCCAGCCCTCAGCCCCCTGCTCATAGCCCTGAGCCCTGCCCTGGGCAGCAGGAACCCTCACCAAGCACAGCTGGGGCACCATGAGAAGTGAGGTGTGGGTGCCCTCTATCCAGCCAGAGAGCTGCCCTCCATGAGAGACAATGCTCATAGCTCTCGCAGGAGAGGAGACCGCTGGTTTCTCCAGCCCAGGGCACGGATGTGTGCAGCTGTGACCATGCAGAGGAGGTGCCGTTCTGTCAGTCTCCCACCACTAACTCTCTCTCTCTCTCTTGTGTTTTCCAGAAATATGTCTCCTCCCAGGTCAGGTGAGTGTTGGGACCCAGAGCAAACGGCACCAGTGGGGACAGCAGTGCCTCCGCACCGGGGTGGAGCTTCCAGGCCAGCGGGCACCTCAGCATTGCTGGGGCAGCCTCGCATGGACACTGCTGGTGTGATGGAGAGCCACGGCCAGAGCCATGCCCTCAGCCCCAGAAGAGGCCAGGAGCAGCTGGTGATACACCAGTGGCTCCATCACACCCAGCAGCCAGGTGAGAAGAGGTCACACACCATCCCTGTCACCTGTGTCACTGCTACCCGTGTCTTTCCAGGTCAGAGCTCCCCAGCCTGCACCCTGGCGATGGTGTCTTTAGCCCCGTGTCCTTTAAGCCGGGCTTCCACCAGGACGACATCAAGATGACTGTGTGGAAGCGCCTGCACCGCCGTGTCCTGCCAGGTACTGACCTGTCCCACTGGAGTGTGCCGGGGACCCTGGCTCGCGGGGGGGTGGG